GCAAATAAAATCAATTTTTCACCGGATTGGCACCAAACGAATCGAGAATAACCACAAGAAAAACAATGAAATAAGACTTAATACCTAAGATAATAAATAATCTCGGAAAAATATCTCAACAATATTATTGACGACCAAAGATAGATATATAAGGATACGCTAAATCAAACATCGCAAATGACAGCCCACCCACTTAAAAATAGACATTGTCCTCTATGGCACAACTCAATGCTCAAGCAAAATATAGAAAATAAGCACAAGAGAAGTAGAAAACTCCCCTGATGGCGTAGAGCATCCGGTTGCATTTTTCAACGATTCGAGCATTGTATGCAGCCGTGGTACTTCATTTATTTGGGCTGGAACTCTGATGAGTGACTGGTTGAAGTCGTTTTCTTTAGACCCTCGATATGTCGGCTCGGAAGGTCGGACACATAGATGAACAACAAGCCTCAGAAGTTTGGACTCTCGGCTAATAAATAGTAGCGGCAACCAGACAGAAAATGGTGGTTCTGGGTTTCAGCCACCAAACTGATCGTGGTGGGCGGCCATGGCTCGAAAATAGCGTGAAGATGCGGAGAACAAGGTTCGCCGAGGTGTGACTTCGAAAGCGGACGCGGTGGTTGGCAGCGGACGGTCTGTTATATGCGGTGATCTGAAGTCGAGAACCTGAACAGAGGAGGCGGCGGCCGGACTTGCAGACGCGATTTGATGATGGTTTGCCGGAAAAATTCAGGTCTGGACGGGTGGACGACTATGCTGGAAAAGGAGCAGCAGGTTCCCCAGGAGAGCAGCAGCAGACATTTGACGGCCTTGCTCGGTTGTACCAGAAAGGATCACGCTCGTGGTGGTCGGGAGAAATTGGTGATGGCGTGACTGAAACTGGAAGAGTTGTACGTGCGTTGTCTCAGCGGTGTCAAAATTGACTTCTTTATCTGCAGAAGAGAAAGAACAGCTGGTAAAAACGAGGTTTGAGGAAATGGTCCATTGTTGTAATAATATTTAGAACGAACATGTGATTTTAAGCGTAAGGTGAACTGAAGGTGAACTGAAGAATAAATAACTTACAGCAGTAAGCCTTTCTCTGTGAATCTCGCTTACTGTCTGGAAAACACACAAGAAACAAGTGAGCAAAATGATGATAAGTTTTGCACTCTTGAAGTAAAAGAAGACAGGAAACACTTACTGGTTTTTGTACAGCTTAATCTCATCTCCCCCAAACCCAGGAAGAGTAATGTTCCAGTTTCTTTCTGAATCCAAGGACAAAAAAAAAAGTGTAAGAGTTATATATTTGCATGTCTGACAAAAGAAACTCATAGAAACTAACCAAGATGTAGCATGATGTCCTTTGCTTCCAAAGTGGTTGATTTTCTATGCTTGGCCAACGAACATCGAAATGTTGTTATCTGGTGAGGTATAATTAAAAGCATAATGCGACGGGTGAACAAGAATATGCTTGAGACACACCAAAAGATTACCAGCCAAATGACTTGACATTGCAACAAATCCATGTTATTAATGCACAAGGTTGAACAAACAAAACACAATATATAGTAGTACAATTTCCATTCAAATTTGATGTGTAATATATGGAACATATTTACAAAGCATTCAAAAGCTCTACAAATGTAATAGAGAGGACAAGAAAATGGAAAGAGGAAAAAAAATATGTTCCTCAACCAAAGTAGCCGTCTTACAAAAGGATAAACCCTTTTAGTTTTTACTTCCAACAAACATTAAAAAAAAAAATATGGTATACATGCTTATGCAGAAAGATTAACATTCATATATCAAGAAACAACAATGGTGTATCAGTTGGTTTGGAAGTTTTGTGTAAAGATATGCATGGTACAGACAACTTTTTTTGGTAACATATTTAAAGTTCAACCCATTTATATATGCTACACAATAACTTAAAACATGAAGGAACTCGTATTGTAGTCCGCACATCTTTAATACACAATAAAATTTTCTGATAACTTACTGATTCCACAAAATCTTCAGCAAAGTCGACAAGAATATCTTCAACCTCAGGATCTAACTTTTCAAATGGATCGATCTGATAAAATGAAGGAGAGTCAAACACATAAATCACAAAATTTTCATACACAATAGCTAGGTCAATAAAACAATCATAGCTCACAAAAAACCAATGCCCAATCACATCCCTTTAACGAATTCAATTTTCCACCTAGAGGACCAATTAATTATATATGCATTTTAAATTAATCAAAAGCCCAACACAAATGTCTGTCAAATTTCAGCCACTTCCACCGGAAATAAACAAACTACTTTGGACAAGCAACCTTAGGAAATCTAGTCTAGTGTGGTCTAGCTTCTTTAATAGAAAACAGACGTAACTAACTAGAATATTCAATAGAAATTGACAAAAAATCAAAACCTGATTCACAATTTCCTGAATGCTTCTCTTGCTCACGATTCTATTCGAAGACTCGTCTGTGTCGACACTCATTGTTTTGCTAGGGGCCCCAGAATGTGATGTCCCAGGTTGGGTCAAGCCAATAGGGGGCCTTTGGATTCCTGATCCTGGGCCCCTTGAGACCTGTTGTTGATGAGGCAAAGACTGTTGAGTCCTGGAAGTCGGGATTTGGGGGTTAAAATGGTTCTGTGGCTGGCCTGAGGCTGAGGATTGTGGTGACTGTTGGTTTGAGCCGATTAGCTGCTGCTGTGAGGTGGTAGACATGTTATTCTGAAGTTGCTGGGTGATGGACCTTGGCTGGAATGACTGGGGACCCGCTTGTGGCCGAAAAGTAGGGGGTGGCAATGGAGGTTTGCCTTGAGTTCCAGAAGATAACCACGGTTGAGTCTGGGACTGAGTTTGAGAACTACTAGGTGATGACCCAGAGGATCCTAGTGAGGGAGCCCTGTGCATGCTGTGTCCTTGGAAATTCTAATAAAATTGGCATCAATCAATAAGGAAACATCATATTTACTGCTCGTGAGAAATATTTCTATGTGTTGAG